CGCGAGTTACGACATGTGCACAGTTGCGCACTGAACAGAACGCTGCATGAAAAAGTTTGTAACCAAGTTACCGTACGATCAAATCTCAGGGCGGCCATATTATTTCTTATGATTTTGATTTTTTTTTTTTCTCCTCTGTCTGGTACCAACATTGCAATTACTATAGCTCCGCAAAACATTTTTACAGAAGGAAAGAAATAAAAAGTAAAAAACAAATTTGATAGACAATCTTCACATTAACATTACACCCTTATCAAAAACAAGTGTGACTGTGTGGCACTAAAACCTAATCATCGCGTTATCCTCTGGCTTTTCACAGAGGACTGTAGGAAAAAATAAAATTGGCAAAACATATAGTTAATTGCGCTTTATTATACACAAAATTATGGAAGACCAATTTCAATTACTGTTCGACAAAATGAAGTTGGAATTGCAGAACCAAACAACCCAACTAACGAACACAATACTTGATAAAATGGAGGAAAAACTAAGACCTGTCCTCGAAGAAAACCAAATATTGAAAAGTAAAGTAGAAAAGCTGGAAAAGAAAATAGAGCATCTAGAAAGAGATAAGAGAAGCAATAATATAATAATCCACGGTTTGGCGGAAAGTGAGCAGTCAACGTTGGATTTAATCGAGTGCATTAAAAAATGTCTATTGGATGAACTAGGTATAACCTTAGAAAATTATGAAATAAATAAAATCTACCGTATTGGCATAAAAAATAATAATGGAAAACCTAGGCCTACCCTCCTTTCTTTAGTTAGCGGATTGAAAAGAGCAGAAATTATCAGGAACAAAAAGAAATTAAAGGAATTATATATAACAGAAGACTACTCAAAAGAAACCTTGGAAATACGGAAGTCCTTGCAACCCAAACTAATGGAAGAAAGGCAGAAAGGAAACATAGCGTTCATAAAGTATGATAAACTTATTGTCAAAGGGAATTCAAGGGCCATAGACAAGAGGAAGAGAGTTAAATCAAACTCTCCGCAAGCAGAATTATTACAACCAAGAAAACAGAAAACACTAATCTCGTCTAGAAATAACAGAATAAATGCATTCGACGTGATGAGAGGCCGATCTCACGAGCATTCAACACTCCCAACAAAAACTCAGCAATAGCAATTATTGTATACCGGCGGTCAGAAACAAAAGAAACAAAAGTAACAAAAGTATAATAAACACACTCCCCCAACTATTCTTCCAACCCGGCTGGTCACCGTGGAAGACTATGACCAAAACCCTCCAAGGACATCATCATCATACCACACAAAACAAGCAATGAAAAAAAAACAGAGGCAGACCCTACGCTCGATGGGATGATGACATCAAAAAAATCGCGGGTCCTCACTGGGTCCAAATAGCTCGGGATAGAGAAAGATGGCAAGCCTTGGAGGAGGCCTTTACCGGAGAGGGTTCCTGATACTTACTAACTGTAAAAATTATTCACTAACACATGAGATAACTTGATATATTTGTATTAGGAAATTAAGATAAGGCTTAAAATAAATAAAAATAAGCGTCGTCTAGGATGTTATAAAGTTCTTCATTGTACGGAATACGCCAAACACCGTCGTCGCAAATATGAATTATATTATGAAATATTTTCTTAATGAAGCCCATTATTGTATAGGAAGAGAATGTAACATTCTTCTAAAGTTAATTACTTATTAGGAAGAAAATTGTCTTATTAGGTGTTGGAATCTACACGTGTTTAGATAAAATCTAAGTAAATATCTCATATTTGCACTAACTCTTAGAGTTATAGTGTGAATGGCTATATATGTATGTAGATTATAACCAAGATTATTCTTTAAATTATCTCCTTGTCCAATGAATGGCAATCTGATTGGTTGAATTATGTGTAATGTAATTCCGACTGCAACTGATTTTTTTTTTATTAAGAAGTGGCCAACAGGCTCAAATGATAACATCATTTGACGTGCCGCCCACGGGTTCAATGACAGAAGGCTCGCGAGTGCGTTGCCGGCCTTTTAAAAGTTGGTACGCTCTTATTTTGAAGGACCCTAAGATGAATTGGCGCGGCGTTTTATATGATATCTTTGAGCCGTGGTTTATTTCATCTTCTGAGGCGCCAATACTTGTGTATAAACAAATAAATAACCTTTAGAGCTTTATAAAATTAATCTAACTTTACATATACTCAGAATAGCCAATTAATCTTAAATACCAATTTTATACTGTGTCACCCAGTTTGTGTGTGTGTGTTTTTACCGACTAGTGGTATGTGATATTTAATTTAAAAATCGTATAAATTTTACAACTGTTATTTAAACATTTATTCTTCGAATCAATTCAATTAAGCGGCATAAAAGAAAGAGCGTATCTTTTGTGAGTGTTCACTTCATCTCCTAACATCAGGTAAAACATGGATGAATAACACCCATTAAAATATAATTGACTGCTCATTAATACAAAGCAAAAGAAGACAAAACATGACAGCACAAAATTTATAAATTAGGAGAACGACAAACAAACTAGTAGCTATAAAAAACAAGGAAGATGCAAGGCTTAAGACATTAAGAGATTTAACTTATTCTTAACTGAAGCAGTAGAGGAGTGCATAAGGGTCAATATTAGTGGCAGAATCCAAGGTACAACACATCGTGTGAAGAGGCTCACGGAACCCAATGTTGGTTCTGGGAGTCGGAAGGTTAAAAGTTCGGTGCGAGCGTAGAAATCTGGCAGGAACATTAATTATTATCAGTTCGAGATGGAAACAAGTTATATCATGTACGCATATTTTTCTAATAGTGACACAATCTATCAAATTACGCCTAGCAGTCAAAGAAAGCAATTTATATATTTTTTAAAGTCCCTTATATTTTTTTATTCGACTTATACACATGGTGTTTAAAATAAGTTACGTCTGTAAAATTCCAATATTTTTAAAGTAATCAATAACATATACTTCCTGAGTTTCTTGTCAATTATCGCGTCAATAAAAACTATTTAGTAACAAAAAATATCCATTACTGAATGACGAAATCTGATATCACGATTTATCAAAAAACTATATAATAGAACATTAATCATACGATTTCATCTATTATCTGAGTTTCACGCGTCGCTGGCTGGCAAGTAGTTTTATTGTATTTAATTCCATTAAAATCTACTGGAGCGTTCTCTAATATAATGATTTATGATATTTTAATAAACACATTCATGGACTGCATAGAATATGAAAATGTTTAAGACATATTTCTTTAGGTACTATAAGATTACTATAATTTACGCAAAACAGATTTTGAATTTTAACTTTGGAAGTCCATACAATGATTGAAGTTAGGGGTTGCATTAAAAGAGGAATTATTTTTTAAGTTATATCAGACTATGTTACTACAAAAATAAAAAATAAATCAGTGGCGGTACCACCTCTTTAGGTCTTGGCCTCAGATTTCTAAATCTGTTTCATGATCATTTTTCAATCTAATAGGCAAGTAGGTGATCAGCCTCCAATGCCTGACGCACGCCGTCGAATTTTGGGGTCTAAGACATGTCGGTTTCCTCACGATGTTTTTCTTCACCGTTCGAGCAAATGTTAAATGCGCACATAGAAAAAAAATTCCATTGATGCACAGCCGGGCATCGAACCTACGACCTCAGGTATGAGAGTCGCACGCTGAAGCCACTAGGCCAACACTGCTCATTATACTATTATAGTAGGTATATTATTTCGCTACACTTTGATGTTGTACATTGCCCGAAAAACGGATGGCCGAAGGAGCAAAAAGTCCTGGAACGGAAGCCGAGGACAAGTTGGCGAAGCATTAGACGGTCTCCTCGGTTGAGAGTTGACCTGGTGAGGAGGAAGGCGATGGCGCGGGAAACAGCTCGTACTGGAAATTTAGGGAGAGGCCTATGTTGTAAACAGTTTTATATAACGATGAGGAGAACATTCCTCTCTACGTAATCAATAAGCATGTAAACGTATCAAATTAAATTAAAAACAATTTTAGCCCAAGACGCTCAATGCGCTGGAAGTAGCAATTACGTCATGAAATCAGTACAAACTACAGTGCTTGCTTAACCAGCTTAATTGGCCTGACAGAGGAGTTTATGAAACAGTAGGGTTGTCAAAAAACGCACACAGTTTATGATTTTGCTGCCCTAAAATTTCGCCTAATTTGCAATAAATGCACATACAGTTTGTTTATTTATTTATTTTTAATTAATATAGCTTTTTAATATTTTCAATTGTTAAATTTAAAATATGACACCATTATACAAACGAACATTATGTACTAACAAAGACAATGAACCAATAATTTTTTTGTGACGTGTGTGTGGGAATGTGCAATGTGTGGGGGTGTATAAGTATGTTAATGTGTGCGTTTTGAGGTGATACAATGTATAATTTTAGAATGCATTTATTTATGTTGCCATGCACTTATGGCAATGGCAACTTCTTAATCAGTCTTAAAAAATCTCAAGATGAAAGAGTTGAATTCGAGGTGATTTTTTTATTATCCAAGATATAATTCCAGTATAATAGACATTTGTTATGGAAATCATATATGTATACATGTCGAGTTTGTAAAACTAGTCTAGTTAAATTCATATTTTTGTACGAAATCCTAAATGCATTTAAAAGCCTTTTAAACGTTTATACAATTTTTAGAGGTATTATTGATGAGGTAATATTTATTATAAATTATAATATAAAGTTATAAATATATTGGTTGTCCTTTAAACGAAGACTAATAAATAATATACTATAAATGAGAGCGCTTATTTCAAGTGTCCTACTGCTAAATTTATACTCTGCAAGTCACAGACAACAGATAGAGCGAGCGTTATTAGGGTTTCTTTAAATTAACCTTATTACCGGCATTCTGGTATCTGGTTTTTAGTGCAAAAGCCGGGATACGGTGGGTGTGGTCCAAGAAATTACACAATTGTTAATTGCAAACCGGCTCAAATAAAAAAATTAAATTGTAATTAAGTTCAACTGTTTTTTAAACCAATTATAAAGATGGTCGTCTTTCTCGCCGCCTTCAACGACATCATAGGCCGCTCTCTTGCCGCTGTCAACGTTCTAGCAATTTTGGAGTCAACAAACATCGCTAGAGACGGTGGCAAGCGGCCGGAGGGGATGTCTTTGATCCATTGGTGGATTGGACGGGATTTGGTATGGGTTCCTACTTCCTACTTGTGTTGACACGTTAGCCTCGTGTCTCACCGCCCTCGGACAAGCACAAAAGCTGGCGCGGCCGCAGAGCAGGCGGAAATTAATAAAAATGTCTTTCCTCCAGTTTTGATATTGTTCCCTTTGGACTAGACTCTTGGGCCGTGGTTCAAGTGCACAGGCTAATTAAAGATTTACGTTAGATTAGTAGATAGTACCGGTGTCCCCAGAATAGGTGCTTTCCTCGCTCAACGAATAAGTATCGCAATACAGCGAGGAAATGCTGCCACCATTAAAGGTACGCTGAAACAGGGACCAAACTTTTAAAATGTGTTTTAATTTTCTTTTTATTATAACTATGTAGGTTAAGAATATTGTAAATATTGTATATTTGTGTGATGGCAATAAATTATATTTTATTTGAAACTGTACATTGCTGTTTTATAAAGACTTAACTGATTGCTGTGAAACAAAAACGAATCCATGTCGTCACAGATTTGGTAAAACATCTTATTAGCTTTGAATTCTCAACTTATTAAACAATTTTTATTACTTGCACCATACGTGAATCTGGCCTCGGTAATTGCTCTTAGTTGTCCCTCAAGTGAGCTTATTTTTTTTAAATCTTAAGCACGATGTTTGTCGATGGTATCGTTTGCTTTATGACGTCATGGTCCTGACTCACTTGGCCGTCGCATTTAGTAGGTGAATGTGTAAATGTTTTTATTGCATTTCAAATTCTCAGAGTATTTTTAGATTCTTGATGTTGCTTCCGTGATATTAATTAATTCAATTAAACCATCTCGATTTATTTATGGAAGTTAACAGCATTAATATAAAAGTTATTGTTCAGTAATTGATATAAAAACAAAAATGTATTTATACGTTTCCAATGTGGTTTGGTAATCACTTTCAGTGAAATGTTTTTGGGCCTTCTATATCCAAAATTACCACAAAGTCTGAGTGTACATGTGTGTGCACTCACACACATACATACATACATACATGTGTTCGATAAGTGTATATACAAACTGAATTTGAATAAAAAGTGTTTATTATATATGATAAGTTAAACTATTGTGTTGATGAAATAATTGTAGCTTTATTATAAAATTATTTTTTAAACAAAATATCTTGGAAGTAAATATACGTGAAGACTAGGTAAAGTTATTCATAATCAATCAATTACCTGAAATATTTATAGAAACAAGATTTGAGTTTGTTATGTTATAAAAGTTCAAAATAATTCAATCATATTTCCAATTCAAATCTGAAAATATTCTAACAAAAAATGCTTCTTGTCAACAACAACTATGCCGAAACAAAAGACGCGCTTTTTCCACAGATTAACAATCTTTAACAATTAAATAAAATGTCAGTTTGGACACCTGACAGATAATTAACAATCTAATAGAAATATAATTATTTATATTAATAATGTTATTACTCATATTTGTGTTGTTTTTGCTGTCTTAAAACATAGACAATACAATCGAATTTCAACTTTTTAAATTATTATTTTCACCGATCAATCTCCTTCGTGGCTTTTCCATCTACACGACAATGGCGAAGTACCTTGTGCCCAGTTCGCACAAATAAAAGCCATTAAAAAAAAATATTTATATGTTCGTTGGAATTGAATAATTAAACATTTAATTATAAGTTACAAGTTACTTAGTGTTGGTATACATTTTAAATAGAATAAAAACTCCAAGCTACTATTTATAAAGAAATTATTATCGTTCAATCTATATAATCATATTTTCGTAATATCCCGTGACATTTTTGTAGATCGCATAACACTTATCTGTTTGTTTGATAAGATACATGCATCAATGTTTGCAGGAGATAAGAATTGCTTATTTGTTTTATCGATTTTTCCTGGAACTAGCACCACTGACAATATTTGTACATTTTGTTACGTAACTACATATATTCAGCTGGCGTTTGTGCTATCTTACCAGTCGTAGTTGTTACCATTTTGTAACCGTTCTTTCCTAATGTATAACAATTTAATGTGGTATTTTTAATATGAAATACTATTGCTAAAGGTGAATGATTTATTCAACAGGTACTCTCGAACCCCAAAGAAGTAGTGACTGTATAAAATTAGAAGTTTTTATAATACTGTTCCTTTACGCGGATGGGGTTTCAAATGATACACTAATTAGATTAAATTTAGACCATTCCTTGTTTTGACGTATGATTTAGTGTGATGACTTATTCTTTCTGAAAGAAAACCTCTAACAAAACCTAAGATAAGGTTGTAAATTATATAATTTGGAGTACACAATTATTGAATCGTGATGTTAATGTTGGAATACATTCGTGTTTATCCGTTAAGTTTTATTTAAAAAGGTAATGTATACTTTTATCAGAAATCTCTCGAGGGTTGCAAGTGTGATTACTATTTACCCCTAACCTTTACGATTTGGGGCATCGCCCTTGAGTCTTATCAAAGGGACGCAGCCATGACTTTATTTAAATTAAGATGGGACTCAAAACGTCTACGTTTTTATCGACATCCTTATTGTAATGGAGAAGAGTTATTTAAATAATATACACATATAGTAAACGTGTTAGATAATTTATTTTGATTTTACCATGATAATACTGTCCCGATTTTCCATTCGGTGTTGCGTTTAAATTAACTGAAAATTTGATTAAATATGTGGTACTCGAGTAGGATTTTTATTTTCTCAAAATTTCTTTTGTCTTTTTCTCAAATTCTCGAAAATAAATGTATTTTTAATGACCTTCATATTTACTAATACAAAAATAACAAGTAAATAAAATATGAGAATAAGCACTATAATACTTATAGTATATATACACTGTATCTTAATACCAGCGGATCTGACAGACGGTGTTCAGTAGGTACACGTCTTCCATACAAAAAAAATCTTATAATGTAAATCATTCTTGACTCTCAAGTCACACAAAAAATTTCATCAAAATCAGAGAGTTCAGTAGAGTTATATAAATAAAGGTATAAAATTGATTCAACAAACTATACTCGGGCAGGATTAGGGAATCCAATCCCGATCCCGCGGGATTCTGATCTCGCGAGATCCCGTGTAATTTTTTGGGATCAATCCCAAAGCATAATATGACGAGATCCCGTTCGAGATACCGATTTAGTTAGTGCAGAACATACGTTGCGTTTCATTATTCGAAAGCTAGAAGACCTAGAAACTACTCTCTCAGAAAAGTTGGTCTCTTCGATAAAAAAAAGAAAAATCCTGCCGCAGGATACAATCGGTTTTGATAGTAAAAAAAAGTGCGTGCGTACAAAGTACATATGTCAGAAGTGAAACTTCTTTGGCAAACTAATTTTTTACTTGTTCATACAATACAAATCTAAAACTTTAGATTTCCGAGACTTAGAGGGAGGAAAAAAGGAAGATATGCTAAGAATTTAATGAATTTAACTGTCATTAAAATCTGCCTGTATGTCTCTTTACAAAATTTTAATTTTTAAAATATAATTTCTATAAGGTAATTCGCCCTTCTCACTCTCTCTCAATCGATCTCAATCGTTCTCTTTGACAAAAACGCTGCACATCGTCGTTTCAAAATTTTACCCTGCCTAAAGAAGTTTCATTCAAAAATTGCCTTGACATTTGTAAATTATATATTTAACGAACTTATCAAATCATTAGTGATTATCACAAAATGGCTAACGGTACAGGCAGCTCTTTGTGCGCTATCGTTCATCGATCTCAGTACTCAACCTCTGCCGAGTTCCAATTGAAAGTTATTATTAATAAGTATAGGATATATTCCATACTTTAGTTACTAGTACTTGGATAAATTATTGCGTTATATTGTTGGCTTCTTCGATTAATTTTAATTGTTCGAAATAGATATTATCGTGATTCATGTGCACCTTTTCATATGTCCTTTTTTAACAATGTTTACATATTATGTTTTAATTGCTTTGTCTAAATAACCATGTCTTATGTTTTTTGCACTATCGCTATAAAGCGATAAGGCCGCCAGTTGCCCTCCTTTTCATTTATTATGTCAATTGTATTATATTTCTGTATGCAACAAAAACTAAATTTTTAATAAAATGCATTTTATGATCCAGATTACGAGATTTCGCTGTAATTACATTTAGGTGCATTATACATTGTGTATTGACAATTTAAATTAAGCCTTTCTATATTGTTTAGTGTGTGTCAAAGTGTTTGATGACTAACCTCTCTGAAATTGTTTCCTCATTCTGATACAACTAATAATCGTGTGAATTTTTTCGTTATTAAGTTCGAGTCAAGGATATATCGAGGTATAGTCGAGTCGGTCGACTATTTATTGTTAAAACATGTATCAACGGCCACCGAACCATTCTTTGTACAAGTGATAAAGCATGCACTTTTTTTCAATACGTAGGACCCGTACAAAGTAGCCTATACCCGTATAAAGTAGCAAAGTAGCCTATCAGGCAGATCTGTGGCCGGAAGCTAGGTAGCAGGGGAGTGTCAAATCTCCCCTTTACTAAAAAAAGGCCTGCAGCATGCACTTTAGTTGACTGTGGAAAGGAAACTTAAAAGTCAATAGGAAATACTAAACTAGATTCGAAAAAGACACAAACCGAATACATCTTAAATGAATGAAAAATTCTTATACAATTGTTTGGCGTGGTATCAAATTATTCGTGTATCCCTTTTGATTGTTTTATTTTCTTTGTCTAATATAAACATGGCTAGCAACTTGTATATATAATTTCAAGCCATTCATATCAGTAATTATGGTAATCTTCTAGCGAGGAAGTAATTAGCATAACGAAAGCGTTAGGCCAGTGTTTCCAAACGGGAAGTGACGTAAAATGAACGTTAATGACCGAAATAGTATTTTATTGTTCTTAATTTAAATGCAAGTTAAATGTCGATGGTTTATAGACGTAATAATTGATTATTTTGACGGGAAACAAGGGTAATTTATAGATGAGGTGTGATTAAAGTGTTATAGTTATGTGTATAGTGCTAAGCGTTCTTCAGATTTAATTATTTTTTGTATTATAAAGAAAAAGTATTAGTTGTGATATTGAAGTAGAAAAAAATAATATGTGCGTGTAACACATAAGAAGTGAAACTTCTTTATGACATTATTTTTCGAAAACTGATCTACTATATGCAACTATACAGAAATTGGTTAAATAAAGTTAACGTTTATCAAAAGGCTTTTATTATCATAGACATGAATTTTACCTTATTACTACTAATAATTATTACAGAATTTCATTAATTGTAATGGAATAATTACTATGATTGTTATCGTTATTATATATTTTTATTATTAATGGCTTCGAATCTCTTCGAATCAACCGTGGTAGGGAGGGACAAGAAAAAGATGGCGCGTAACGGAAAAATGTGACGGTAATTTTTTTTCCAACGCCGATAAAGAAGTTTCACTTCAATAACATAAAACTGTTATTAATTAATAATTTAATTGTTCTTTGGAAGATATTCAAGTATTTTGAATTTAGTCTTAAGTTCTTAATGTAATAAGAACAATATTATGAGCTCCATGGAAGTAGTTGACATATACGGTCTGACTTCGATTATGAGTACATAATATTTCAAGATAAGCTACGGGGAATATTTTTAGATAAGCGGAGAAAGCAAAGCTTTTAAAACAATTCAGCTTAACTTGCTCTGAAAATTGTCAACGAAAGATATTCGTACATTTGAGTTTGAGGACCTTCAAACAATATCTTTCTTGTAAATAAAATATCAACATTTGATTTAAAAAAAAAATTACGTTTTACGTACATTGTATTTACTCTTAAACAATTAAAGCAACATCGAACATTCATTTGCATATGTAATGTAATATTTGACTTTGAATAAATTTATTTCAACCAACGAGCAATAAAACTTACAATCTAAATGCGAGAAAGGTATTCCTATACAGTGCGGAATCTAGGTATACGTAAGAGCTCCGATATCTGCCAATCAGATACTGTACTAATGACGACATGTACTGCTTCATTAGCTGCCCATCTCTGATAACCTGAGGCCATTTCACGTCGCTTCCAATCAACAGCGCATGTACTCTGCAATACCTATCTAGACGTTTTATACGATTTATTTTGATAGAATGGCACAAACAGGCCTCCTGCCTTTTAAGGGAATCAGCCGTTCATGTGCATTCACATTGCCAAGGGCTCGCGAATGCGTTGCCGGTCTTTTAAGAATTGGTACGCTCTTTTCTCGAAGGACACTTTAATAGGCAGCTGGTTCCACATACTGGTGGTGCGTAAAATTGCCTTAAGAAGCATTCAGATGAATTCTTGATGTCGTTTTAATTAATTACTCGTATTATCTCTAAATGGAGTGTTGGCTTAGTGGTTTGAGCATGCTCGTCTCAATCCTAAAGTCAATCAAATCATGGCTGTGAAGCAATAGAGTAGAAGCAAGACTATGTAGACAATTACATTACAGTGAAGGAAAATATCGTCAGGCCTTTGGCCCAATTAATGCGTGTCAAAAGATGCGGAGCACATACGGCTTATAAAAAAAACAATATCACGAAATAGATACAAAAATTTTCGGCAATGGGGCCGTTCAAGTATTACGTAAGCAGATTTACTGCAATGTATCCCCCCCGCCCCTCCTCTTGTCAGCAAAAGTAAACAAAGCTCTCAAAAACAATAGTACATAAACGTATTCATTTTTGTAGGAATCCTCGAAAATACATTTCATTTTCAAGCATAGACATTGTGTGAGTAATATGTGTAAAAAAGTAAATAATTATCTACTGTTGACGTAATCACCAAATAACTAAATCAAAGACCTTCCCTCCCCCTATAGTGCTTACGTATTACTTGAACGGCCCCCAAGATGAAAACCCTCGAATAAAAAATCCTTAAATGTTTAGCAATATAAATAGTTACCCTCCTGTTCCCTATTCTAAAAAAAATGAGTCCCTGAAGAAAAAAGTCCCTGTCTGTCCCTTTTCATTACGTCATAAATATGATTAAACAGAAAGAGACAAGAATGTTAAAACAGTGGCATTTCGTTTTTCTAGATCAGCTATTTATAAAAATCATTGGTATTCCTTGTAATTGTCTGTGGGTGATAGGTCCTAGGCTTATCAGGTGGAGACTGCACGACGTCGATACAGTATATAAAGCAAACAGTAATTTGAACGCCAGTAAAGCCTGCATCTAATGGTGAATGTGTAGGTGATTAACTAATCACCCCCAAATGTATGAACAACACATTACATTCATATTCATAATATGGCGTTATTAAAAGTTATTGAGAACGGTCACTTATAAAGTTGTTGAATTTAAAGGCATTATTGAAGTTCGAATAAGGGAACACGATGTCATTTTTTTATTTGAATGGTAACACGACGCAATATCATAGACATCTTCGTGTAAATTCGTAAATAAATGTAAATCTACGATATACATACATTTTTATCCCATATAAAAAGATACTATATTTAAGAGATCAAAATATACTACATACTGCCAATGACTTCAAGTCAATATAATATAGGTATAAGACAATATATATGCCCAAGAAAGCTGTATCCCTGGTAA